GCAGTTCGCCTGAAAGCAAGGCGTCCTGTGAAGAGTGTGACCCAAAGAGCTTATCATAGGCAGCACAGATTAGTGAGTGAGTGAGTATGGTTTTACGCCGCTTTTAGCAATATTCCAGCAATATCACGGCGGGGGGCACCAGAAATGGGCTTTACACATTGTACCCATATCGGGAATCGAACCCGGGTCTTCGGCGTGATGAGCGAACGCTTTAACCACTAGGCTACCCGACCGCCCCCAGCACAGATTAAGTGAGCTAGGCACATACAGGAATGGCTGTGCGTGATGTATACAGACGAATCAAGGCTTTGCCTCAGATTCACAGATGGCAGAATGCGCTTTTGGCGACGTAGTGGTATGCCCCAGTAAACAACATGGGGCGTATAGTGTCATAACACTTGACAGGCGAACTGATTTGGCCATTGTAACCAAACATTTCACTGGCCAATGATACGTTGGCGAAATTTTGCGTCCTTTCGTTGTTCCATTCGCTGGAATCATCGGCAGAAATTTTGAACTGCAAGATGACAATGACAGACCACATCGTGCCCAACTAGTCAGCGATGTTCTCCGACGAGAAGGTATACGGACATTGGACTGGTCCGCTAAGTCCCCTTACATGTTCCCAATAGAGCACCTGTCGGGTTTGGGGGGCACGGGTGGCCCAGTCGTCTAAGGCGCCGCGATTCGCTATGCAGAGTTGCGTCCCTTGGGCACGCCAGAAACCTATGATTGTGGTTCGAATCCAGGTTCGCCCCGATTATGTTTCTAGGTTTGTCAGCACCATACCCGTGCTCGTGGGTTTCACCGACGTGGTAAACGTCTGAGACCTGCATCACTTCGGGCTTTCCTCCCACATTAAGCTGACACGCCGCGATATAACTGGAATATTGTTCAAAGCGGCGTTAAACCAAACTCACTCACTCACTCACTCACTCACTCACTCACTCACCTGTCGGGTGTTCTCGGGCGGAGAATGTACGCCAGAGACCTGGCACCAACCCACATGGTCCACATTGGGTAGCTCTTCAGGGAAATGGCGGGCAATACCACGGGCAGCCATACGAAAGTTAATCAACACTAGGTGGCGTCGCCTAACGGGGTGGACACACCAAGTATTGATCTACACACCCGATATTAATGGTACAGACATTAATCATCATTACACATTCAATATCATATCCTCAGCTACCTAATTATTTGTCGCTAGTTTATTTGTTCGCCAAACCTGCAATAGATCACTGGCAAGTAAATAATACAATGTTTAGTAGTGTGCCCATGCTTCTCTGATGTTTTTGGACAATTTGTAGTGTATATCGGGATTAGATCATGTAGACGTTGCAGAGAAAAATTGAACAGTGTAACTATAAATAAAAAGTATATGAACCTGGCCTGCCTCGTGTGATCTGCTAGCTGTTGATGGTAACCTTGATAACATGGAGATAAATGTAGGTAGCCTAGTGGTTAAAGCGTTCGCTCGTCACACCGAAGACCCGGGTTCGATTCCCGACATTGGTACAATGTGTGGAGCCCATTTCTGGTGCCCCCCGCCGTGATATTGCTGGAATATTGCTAAAAGCGGCGTAAAACAATACTCACTCACAAAACCTGGACAAGATATAGTGCACGACTACTGGTAGCATATTGTTTCTTCAACGAATTGTTGCACTTGTAACACATAAACCCCTTGGCGGTTCCAGGTTAGGATTACTCCCCTGCAACATGTGCATCTCGTGAAAGTAAGAGGCGATCCAGTTGATCGGACTCGGTGTCTCGGTTAAGGTGTGTCGTACTCGGCATTGGGAATAACGCGCCTTATTAATCACTGGTAAATCCATTGCTAAAACTATACTTTTATGATACTGTACATTTTAAAAATGATAGTAAGAGGTAAAAGTATACGATCATAAGCATTTTGAACTTCCAAGTATGGGGTGTACTGGTACTTGGGAATCAGGGCCTCAAAGTCGAGAAATCGTCATGAATATACGTTATTTATCTTTAGTATACATCTATTCTTATTGAATTTAATATGAAGCACAGTTATTTTCTTCTGACCATATAGATGATGCCAATCCTGATGGAGGATGTATCACAGAGCCTCATTTACAGGATATGGCATATACTCTTAATCAACAAAAGACGCGCATCTCGGCAACACAAACAATTGCAAATAAGAAATATATAGCTAGATATCTTTATTATTTGTCTTTAAGAAATACATATCCCAAAATCATGATCATAACAATGAAAAACAAGACAAAAATGAGCAGGTTTCACTTCCTAATTCCCCCGACTATACTACAACATATTTCAAAGTTCAAAACATGAAAGTTCTCAGAAAATATACTTATGAAATCCAAATTTTGCACTGCACTTCTCCATATTGGTATAGAAATGTACCCTAAATTGGAAAAGAATCCATGAAGTAGTTAAGGTCGCAAATATTTCTTTCAGAAAATACACATATCAAAAACAAACCTTGCAATGTACCTCTTCTACTAGAAGGGAAACTGTTCCCTAAATTTGAAAAGAATCCACTAAGTAGTTTTCAAGTTAAAGGTCGCACAAACAATTCATAGTAAAAAAATAAAAAGAGCTGTATTTTTTCAGAAAACCCAAATATTGAAAATAAACTTCGACCTGCAACTCTCCCATAGGTATAAAAAAGTTTTCATAAAATTTAAAAAGAATCTGTATAGTTATTTACAAGTTATAGGTTGCACCAAAATGTTTGCTTTAAGGCTGGGGTATATTATAAGGAGATCAGAAAGAACTCTTTCTCCTCCTAAATGTGTCCATTTTTTAACCCGATAAGGATATATTCAGTAATTACAGTACAGATTACATAAAACCCTAAAACCCTTATACAAACCCTCATAAACCTTTCACTTTATCATCTAAATGAATTAAACAGTGTCCCGTTGGCTCAATCCTTCAGTTAAAATATTAATGATTCAAAAGATTGTAATATCATCAATCATCTGATACGGTGGAAAAAGAGTCCTGGGCTGAAGGTTAGACCACTAATAATGTTGGTGACACTTTATTTGTACAAACTTTTTTTATGGAAATAAGGGGTAAAGCAACGTCCTTGCAACATGTATTAACATTTCATTCATAAACATAAAATATAAGTAATTAGATATGTGACTATGAAGAATGTGAGAAAGACACCGATTAGTTTTATCATCAAAAAGCAGAAATTCCACAATCAGAATTGATACACACTTTGATTAATAACAACTGAAAAGAAATTACCGACTGTAAACATCCCTTAAAACAGCAACAAAAAGTATGAAACATTGTATATACATTTACATATGGAACTGACAAAGAAGACATAACACACAAAATACACCAATCTAAATCTGAAGAATTAGAACCAAAAGAATGATTTCAAAAGTAGTCTATATTAAATTCTTTTGCAATGATAAAATAAATTTGGATGTATTGAAATATAATAGAAATAATACAGAATACAATCTCCAATGAACAGAGGAGAAATCACATGGATCTAATTGAGTGAGTGATTGAGTTGGGTTTTAACACAGCTTTTAACTGTATTCGAGTTATATCGCGGCCTGTCAGCTTAATGTGGGAGGAAAGCCTGAAGTGATGCAGGTCTCAGACGTTTACCACGTCGGTGAAACCCACGAGCACGGGTATGGTGCTGACAAACCTAGAAACATAATCGGGGCGAACCTGGATTCGAACCCACAATCATAGGTTTCTGGCGTGCCCAAGGGAAGCAACCCTGCCGAGCGAATCGCGGCGCCTCAGACGACTGGGGCACCCGTGCCCCCCACACGAACATAAACCAAACACACGTTGAAGACAACAGTACATATGGCATCCTATATCACTCCAGATAAAACAAAGATAAAATAAGAAAAATAATCAAAACACAAAATAAACCATCAATGCTACATTTAACCGATTTCGAGAATACATTTCATTACAAGTCCAGAAATGTTTTTGAAGTGAGCTATATATGAAATGAAGTCTTCATAAAATATCTTTGAATGATAAATCAGGTCAACACGTCATGTCAGAAGGCAGATCAGTGATGACTCACATTTTGACTATTCTAAAACTATTACTCAGGCCTGGCTTTGCTGACACTTACACTACGAATGTTGACACTGGTTCTGCACAGTTAAAGCACTGATATGTCTTCAAAAATATTGCAAAGCAATGCACCTATAGAAGACTACATACACGTTGTCATTATATGTATACCACTTCACATTTAGAATAACCGAATATAATAATCTTGTTTGAAGCAATACACATAATATCACATGAAAGTTAATTTCAAATCATTTCAAGTATATTTACATAAGCAATTTGTTACAAGAAAGAAAGAGTTTGGAAATCAGCTACACATAAAATGAAGCCCTGATAAAATATCTTGAAATCAGTGATTACTCATGAAGACACAAAGATAGCAGGAAAACAGTGATAACTCTCATTTTGACTTTTCCAAAAGTAAACCTATTCAGGTCTGGTCTTTTTCAATACTATCATGTGGTCATTTCATATCTTTTCCAGTACCATAAATGTTAAACTGGTCAACGAACAACGGCAGTTATAATAACATAGCTGCCTGTCTACAAACTCCCTATCTTTGCCGATAATACTCGTGTATAATTCATTCTAATACAAATGAGGACATTGTTAAATACTGATATGTCTACAGGAATCAAATGTTCACTCAAAAAGAACAAAAGTCGCAAAATACTTTCTCCCAACAAACCAGCATGGTCTGCCTGTAATTTCGGAAGTCAGGTGCATGTTGGGGGCACCTGCTTCCTGTACACTCTAAAACTGCACTCGCTGAAGTGTTTGTGTGGGTATGTCATAGTCAGACGGAATTGTTATCATATATTTTCTTGGCTAGTAAATGGTAAATACTTCTACAGTCGTACATGTATTCGGAGTTGCTAACATTGGTACCTTATTTAAAAACGTTGATTAAAGTATGTCAGAATTTTAAATATATTTACTTCATAGACAGAATCAATATAATAATTGTAAATGTATCAGTGAAAACATTTTTGCAGATATTCAGGCTACATATATACATATTAAATGGCATGCAAGAAAAATATATTTTACAAATCTTTAACAATGATCATTTACTGATGAAAGGCAAAAAAAACGTTACTTCACTAGGCTATAATGATATACAGAATATCACGTTTCAAAGATATATTGTTTTACACTAGATTTGTGCTTGTTTATCAGTGTATACATATAGTGATATAATGGTTCATAAACGTATAAGTATTCATAAACCTGTAGCGATTAATAAACACATGTTTATGCTTGGAATCATACTGTGGATTAAGGGTTGTCATAAGAAGCCTGCTTTATTATATTTGCAATATCCGGAAAGGGTAATATATAAATACATTTTTAGTGAATATGGTGAAAACATATAAAATTGCAACATCTTTTTACACAACACACACGCTCATTCAATTGCTGCTGGGGTACTATGACAATTGTCTTTTGGAGAAAGGTTTTTAATATAAGCATAATATTTTATCTATTAAATTCTAGGTTAAAATATGAAATGGCGATAAGAAGCGTGATTGCACTGGGAGGAGACGTTGACCTGTGACACCAAAGCCAAGTGATTCCGTTTCCCTTGGTGACAAGAAATAACTACTTTTGAGTAGCAGGAAGTTACCCAGACCTGGTCTTGTAATCTAAGTGCCAAAGAGCAAAGGAACCGATGGAATAAATGGTTAGTCAAGTACTGATTGATTTGAGTACTGATTAAGGGTCTTCTGGCGCCTTCCAGTCTGACATAGTATTTGTTCTCCATCCTATGTTCGATTAATTGCTGCATTTAGGAAGTTAAACGGGTATTTTAGATAAGAAGTGATGTTAGCGTGAACTGAATCCACCACTAGAGGGTATGGAAATTATGTATTATTGGGATTAGCATTATGACTCATTCCGTAAGACGTTAAACATTATTTCAGTAGGAGGAGCTCAAATTACAATTGAGCATATTTTGTCAGTTGTCTGAGAGAGGAGCAGGGATTTGGAGACTAACTCCGACCAGAGAACTTCTCTCTGTATATTGGAAGTCTAGACCAGAAAAAGTGAGAGAAAACACATCTGAGGACATATTGTTTGTAATATTCAAGACTTCCATCTACAATATATGGACTTGAGTGAGCTACATCATCCCTGGAACCAAGTGGAAAGACTATGTTGCTTAGGTAGAAGGTAATCACATTCCCGACATCTACGGTCACAGTACGATGACAACCAAAGTCACCGACATAGTCATCCATGCTGACACATTGTCACAGAAGTAGATGTTTTACACAAAGTCATCGGTAGTTTACACAAAAGAATATATCTCAGGCCATGGAAACACAAAGATGGACACACTACACATTGAAACCAGTCGATCATACTTTACATGGCTTACATATAAGTCACTCACATGTCCACATCAGGCATTTACTGTTGTCTTCCTTCGTGACATATCAGCTCCCTCCGATGCGAGAATATGTTTCACAATAGACATGTGTCCTTTCTAACAAGCCAGCAAGTCATTATTGTATTATTGTCAGAAAGTGACAAATCAGCCCCCCTCCAAGACAAGAAGGTTATACACATCATTACACCCCCTCGTATTGCCATCATGGCTGGTGCCTGCATGAAGGGATGTCTTTTTCTAATATGTTTTCAGGGATAGGACATCTTTCTTCCAGACAGCACTGTTCTCTTAATCCGTGAGTGACAGGTCAGCCCCCTCTGAGACAAGAAGGTTATACACATCATAATGTCCCCCTTCTGCAGCCAGCATGACTGGTGTCTGCATACCACTGCCTCCTTTTCGATTGATGTCAAATGTTTTCAGTGATAGCAGATGTTTCACAATAGACATCTTCCCTTCCTTGCATGCCAACATCAGACAGTCACTGTTGCCTTCATCAGTAAGTGACAGGTCAGCCCCCTCTGATACAAGAAGGTTATACACATCATAATGTCCTTCATCCACTGCCATCATGACTGGTGTCAGTTTACACTTGCCCCCTTTCCGATTGATGTCAAATGTTTTGAGTGATAGGAGATGTTTCACAATAGACATGTTTCTTCCCTTGCATGCCAACATCAGACAGTCACTGTTCTCTTCATCCGTGAGTGACAGATCAGCCCCCTCTGATACAAGAAGGTTATACATATAATAATGTCCCCCTTCTGCTGCCGTCATGACTGGTGTCTGCATACCACTGACTCCTTTTCTATTGATGTCAAATGTTTTAAGTGATAGCAGATGTTTCACAATAGACATGTTTCTTCCCTTGCATGCCAACATCAGACAGTCACTGTTGCCTTCATCAGTAAGTGACAGGTCAGCCCCCTCTGATACAAGAAGGTAAAACACATCATAATGTCCCTTTTTCACTGCCATCATGACTGGTGTCTGCATATCGCTGCCTCCTTTTCGATTGATGTCAAATGTTTTGAGTGACAGGAGATGTTTCACAATAGACATGTTTCCTCCCAAGCATGCCCACATCAGACAGTCACTGTTGCCTTCATCAGTAAGTGACAGGTCAGCCCCCTCTGATACAAGAAGGTTATACACATCATAATGTCCCTTTTCCACTGCCATCATGACTGGTGTCTGCATGAAGAAACCTCCTTTTCTATTGATGTCAAATGTTTTGAGTGATAGGAGATGTTTCACAATAGACATGTTTCCTCCCTCGCATGCCAACCTCAGACAGTCACTGTTGTCGTCATCAGTAAGTGACAGGTCAGCCCCCTCTGAGACAAGAAGGTTAAACACATCCTTATGTCCCCAAGCTGCTGCCATCATGACTGGTGTCTGCATATCACTGCCTCCTTTTCGATTGATGTCAAATGTTTTGAGTGATAGGAGATGTTTCACAATATACATGTTTCCTCCCTTAAATGCCAACATGAGGCAGTCACAGTTGTATTTGTCAGTAAGTGACAGATCAGCCCCCTCTGATACAAGAAGGTTATACAAATCATAATGTCCCCCAGCTGCTGCCATCATGACTGGTGTCTGTATGAAAGAGCCTCCTTTTCTATTGATGTCAAATGTTTTCATGGATAGGAAATGTTTCACAATAGACATGTTTCCTCCGAGACATGCCCACATTAAACAGTCACTGTTGTATTTATCAGTAAGAGACAGATCAGCCCCCTCTGATACAAGAAGGTTATACACATCATAATGTCCTCCAGCTGCTGCCATCATGACTGGTGTCTGCATTAAAGAGCCTCCTTTTCTATTGATGTCAAATGTTTTCAGTGATAGGAAATGTTTCACAATAGACATGTTTCCTCCGAGACATGCCCACATTAAACAGTCACTGTTGTATTTATCAGTAAGTGACAGATCAGCCCCCTCTGATACAAGAAAGTTATACACATCATAATGTCCTCCAGCTGCTGCCATCATGACTGGTGTCTGCACGAAAGAGCCTCCTTTTCTATTGACGTCAAATGTTTTCAGTGATAATAGATGTTTCACAATAAACATGTTTCCTCCCTGACATGCTAGCATCAGACATTCACTGTTGTATTTGTCAGTAAGTGACAGATCAGCCCCCTCTGAGACAAGAAGGTTATACACATCATGATGTCCTCCAGCTGCTGCCATCATGACTGGTGTCTGCACGAAAGAGCCTCCTTTTCTATTGATATCAAATATTTTCAGTGATAATAGATGTTTCACAATAGACATATTTCCCCCCAGACATGCCCACATCAGGCAGTCACCATTGCATTGGTCAGTAAGTGACAGATCAGCCCCCTCTGATACAAGAAGGTTATACACATCATAATGTCGTCCAGCTGCTGCATTCATGACTGGTGTCTGCATGAAAGAGCCTCCTTTTCTAGTCATGTCGAATGATTTCAGTGATATAAGATGTTTTACAATAGACATGTTTCCTCCCAGACATGCCAGCATCAGACAGTCATCGTTGTCTTTATCAGTAACTGATTGATCAGCCCCCTCTGATAAAAGAAGGTTATACACACCATAATGTCCTCCAGCTGCTGCCACCATGACTGGTGTCTTCATGAAAGAGCCTCCTTTTCTATTAATATCAAATGTTTTCAGTGATAGGAGATGTTTCACAATAGACATGTTTCCTCCCTGACATGCCAGCATCAGACAGTCATCGTTGTCTTCATCAGTAAGTGACAGATCAGCCCCCTCTGATACAAGAAGGTTATACACATTATAATGTCCTCCAGCTGCTGCCATCATGACTGGTGTCTGCACGAAAGAGCCTCCTTTTCTATTGATGTCAAATGTTTTCAGTGATAGGAGATGTTTCACAATAGACATGTTTCCTCCCTGACATGCCAGCATCAGACAGTCATCGTTGTCTTTATCAGTAACTGATTGATCAGCCCCCTCTGATACAAGAAGGAAATACACACCATACTGTCCTCTAGCTGCTGCCACCATGACTGGTGTCTGCATGAAAGAGCCTCCTTTTCTATTGATGTCGAATGTTTTCAGTGATAGGAGATGTTTCACAATAGACATGTTTCCTCCGAGACATGCCCACATTAAACAGTCACGGTTGTATTGGTCAGTAAGTGACAGATCAGCCCCCTCTGATACAAGAAGGTTATACACATCATAATGTCCTCTAGCTGCTGCCACCATGACTGGTGTCTGCATGAAAGAGCCTCCTTTTCTATTGATGTCGAATGTTTTCAGTGATAGGAGATGTTTCACAATAGACATGTTTCCTCCCTGACATGCCCACATTAAACAGTCACGGTTGTATTTGTCAGTAAGTGACAGAGCAGCCCCCTCTGATACAAGAAGGTTATACACATCATAATGTCCCCCAGCTGCTGCCATCATGACTGGTGTCTGTATGAAAGAGCCTCCTTTTCTATTGATGTCAAATGTTTTCAGTGATAGCAGATGTTTCACAATAGACATGTTTCCTTCACTGCATGCCAGCATCAGACAATCATCATTGTCTTCATCCGTAAGTGACAGATCAGCACCCTCTGATACAAGAAGGTTATACACACCATAATGTCCTCTAGCTGCTGCCACCATGACTGGTGTCTGCATGAAAGAGCCTCCTTTTCTATTGATGTCGAATGTTTTCAGTGACAGGAGATGTTTCACAATAGACATGTTTCCTCCGAGACATGCCCACATTAAACAGTCACGGTTGTATTGGTCAGTAAGTGACAGATCAGCCCCCTCTGATACAAGAAGGTTATACACATCATAATGTCCTCTAGCTGCTGCCACCATGACTGGTGTCTGCATGAAAGAGCCTCCTCTTCTATTGATGTCGAATGTTTTCAGTGATAGGAGATGTTTCACAATAGACATGTTTCCTCCGAGACATGCCCACATTAAACAGTCACGGTTGTAATGGTCAGTAAGAGACAGATCAGCCCCCTCTGATACAAGAAGGTTATACACATCATAATGTCCCCCAGCTGCTGCCACCATGACTGGTGTCTGCACGAAAAAGCCTCCTTTTCTATTGATGTCGAATGTTTTCAGTGATATAAGATGTTTCACAACAGACATGTTTCCTCCCTGACATGCCAGCATCAGACAGTCATCGTTGTTTTTATCAGTAACTGATTGATCAGCCCCCTCTGATACAAGAAGGTTATACACATCATAATGTCCTCCAGCTGCTGCCATCATGACTGGTGTCTGCATGAAAAAGCCTCCTTTTCTATTGATGTCGAATGTTTTCAGTGACAGGAGATGTTTCACAACAGACATGTTTCCTCCCTGACATGCCAGCATCAGACAGTTACTGTTGTCTTAATCAGTAAGTGACAGATCAGCCCCCTCTGATACAAGAAGGTTATACACATCATAATGTCCCCTTCCTGCTGCCATCATGACTGGTGTCTGCATGAAAGAGCCTCCTCTTCTATTGATGTCGAATGATTTCAGTGATAGGAAATGTTTCACAATAGACATGTTTCCTCCGAGACATGCCCACATTAAACAGTCACGGTTGTATTTGTCAGTAAGAGACAGATCAGCCCCCTCTGATACAAGAAGGTTATACACATCATAATGTCCCCCAGCTGCTGCCACCATGACTGGTGTCTGCACGAAAAAGCCTCCTTTTCTATTGATGTCGAATGTTTTCAGTGATATAAGATGTTTCACAACAGACATGTTTCCTCCCTGACATGCCAGCATCAGACAGTCATCGTTGTTTTTATCAGTAACTGATTGATCAGCCCCCTCTGATACAAGAAGGTTATACACATCATAATGTCCTCCAGCTGCTGCCATCATGACTGGTGTCTGCATGAAAGAGCCTCCTTTTCTATTCATGTCGAATGTTTTCAGTGACAGGAGATGTTTCACAACAGACATGTTTCCTCCCTGACATGCTAGCATCAGACAGTTACTGTTGTCTTTATCAGTAAGTGACAGATCAGCCCCCTCTGATACAAGAAGGTTATACACATCATAATGTCCACTTCCTGCTGCCATCATGACTGGTGTCTGTATGAAAGAGCCTCCTTTTCTATTGATGTCAAATGTTTTCAGTGATAGCAGATGTTTCACAATAGACATGTTTCCTTCACTGCATGCCAGCATCAGACAGTCATCGTTGTCTTCATCCGTAAGTGACAGATCAGCCCCCTCTGATACAAGAAGGTTATACACATCATAATGTCCCCTTCCTGCTGCCATCATGACTGGTGTCTGCATGAAAGAGCCTCCTTTTCTATTGATGTCGAATGCTTTCAGTGATAGGAGATGTTTCACAACAGACATGTTTCCTCCCTGACATGCTAGCATCAGACAGTTACTGTTGTCTTTATCAGTAAGTGACAGATCAGCCCCCTCTGATACAAGAAGGTTATACACATTATAATGCCCCCTTCCTGCTGCCATCATGACAGGTGTCTGCAAGAAAGAGCATCCTTTTCTATTGATGTCAAATGTTTTCAGTGATATCAGATGTTTCACAACAGACATGTTTCCTCCCTGACATGCCAGCATCAGACAGTCACTGTTGTCTTTATCAGTAAGTGACAGATCAGCCCCCTCTGATACAAGAAGGTTATACACATTATAATGCCCCCTTCCTGCTGCCATCATGACAGGTGTCTGCAAGAAAGAGCCTCCTTTTCTATTCATGTCAAATGTTTTCAGTGATATCAGATGTTTCACAACAGACATGTTTCCTCCCTGACATGCCAGCATCAGACAGTCACTGTTGTCTTTATCAGTAAGTGACAGATCAGCCCCCTCTGATACAAGAAGGTTATACACATTATAATGTCCCCTTCCTGCTGCCATCATGACTGGTGTCTTTCCAGACTTGCCTCCTTTTCTATTGATGTCGAATGCTTTCAGTGATAATAGATGTTTCACAACAGATATGTTTCCTCCTTGACATGCCAGCATCAGACAGTCACTGTCGTCTTTATCAGTAAGTGACAGATCAGCCCCCTCTGATACAATAAGGTTATACACACCATAATGTCCCCTTCCTGCTGCCATCATGACTGATGTTTGCAAGGAGCCTCCTTTTCTATTGATGTCAAATGTTTTCAGTGATAGCAGATGTTTCACAATAGACATGTTTCCTCCCTGACATGCCAGCATCAGACAGTCACTGTTGTCTTTATCAGTAAGTGACAGATCAGACCCCTCTGATACCAGAAGGTTGTACACATCATGATGTCCTTTTCGCAATGTCATCATGACTGGTGTCTGCAAGAAAGAGCCTCCTTTTCTATTCATGTCGAATGTTTTCAGTGATATCAGATGTTTCACAACAGACATGTTTCCTCCCTGACATGCCAGCATCAGACAGTCACTGTTGTCTTTATCAGTAAGTGACAGATCAGCCCCCTCTGATAGAAGAAGGTTATACACATTATAATGTCCCCTTCCTGCTGCCACCATGACTGGTGTCTTTCCAGACTTGCCCCCTTTTCTATTGATGTCGAATGCTTTCAGTGATAATAGATGTTTAACAATATACATGTTTCCCCCCCCCCACATGCTAACATCAGACAGTCACTGTTGTCTTTATCAGTAAGTGACAGATCAGCCCCCTCTGATAGAAGAAGGTTATACACATTATAATGTCCCCTTCCTGCTGCCATCATGACTGGTGTCTTTTCAAACTGGTCTCCTTTTCTATTGATGTCGAATGTTTTCAATGATAGCAGATGTTTCACAATAGACATGTTTCCACCCTGACATGCAAG